ACTACACCTACAACAATCTAGAGAAGACTCGCTAGTGCACAACGTACGCAAATCAAACTAGAAGGAAACAAGTGGTAACTAGTATCCTAGTTGAAAGGTTTAACTATTGCGAAGTAAAGTAATAGTAATTTAGCTAACACCAAAAGGGAAACAGTAAAACAGGAGGTACCAACTCCCGATAACAAAACCTGTGGCTGATTTGCTGTACTCGATGCAGTTGTACGCTCACGCACCACTTCCTACCACCCTTTGCTGACACTCGCCCAGGTTGCTCTCCTTTGCCAGTGCTCGTGCGCCCAACTTGTCTCCATACTCCGAGAATTCCTGAAAACACAAAAAATACCACGACCCAAAAACCAGAAGGAGCTATCACCGCTACCACTGGTATAGCCCCAACAATATAAAATGTACCAAGAAAGGGAGTAGAACAATATCAAAATCGAAACCAGCACAATCTGCTAAATTATTTAAAATATAGTAAAAGTATGCATAAGCACAAATACAATCTGATCAGGAAAATCAATCTAATGGACCTGACATAGCTTCCGGCGATTAGCAAAATCAAGCCAAAATTTCGATTGCGCAGTAGATCAGTGAATCCAAAGAGCTCGATAAAAATCACTGTAAACTCAATTAAAAAATTGATGAATCAGTAGATCGAAGAATCAAAAGAGCCTAACAAAATCACTGTAAAGTCAGAACTCTATGTAACCAACATTTTATTCATGCTTTTATAATAATATAGATAGATTAAATCTCTGTAATGAAATCTCTGACTTCGTCACTGATCATGATCCTTTTGAATTTGAGTCATGACACTCAGCCCAAAGTTGAGTTGTACACAAAAGATTCATCTTATACTTCCAATATCATTTCTCTAATTACTTACGAGTAAAACACAAGTTAACTGCAGAAACAATTATTCACCTGTGCTTTTCTTCTTTTTTTTTTTATTTTAAAAAATCTTTATGCACTCAGGAACAATTATTCACCTGTGTTATAAAAAGAATTAATAAGCTTTTATATTTTCTTAAATGTGAGACAATTATTCACTGTCCCGAGGGATATCCTTCGTTATTGCAATTTTTCTCACAATGAGCTGACACATAACATTGCCCATGAAATGTAGAACTAAATACCTCGCAAATACCATTCTCCACTGCATTAATATCTGCACCCACAAAAATTAAAAATAAAAATAAAAAAGAAAGAGAAAAAAGCACAGTGAAATTCATTACTATAGCACTTTTACGAATGTAAATATAAGTAAATAATTGTACACTTTTTCTACTAGTTTTAATTTTAGCAGACTGTGACATACTTCTAACATATTATTAGAGCATACAGATAGTCACAAATTCCCGCCTTTCTCGATAAAAAACTAAGCGTGCCAAACCATCTAAGCAAACTCTCATTTGTCAAAGAAGAGAGTCAAGACAAGCTCAAGTCATCCGGGATAAGAGAAGGTCCTATCCTAATAAGCCAAGGTAGGACCGGTCGAGTAAACAATAATTCATCTTTGTGCAGATGAAGAATGGGCTAATTCTCAGTTACTCTCATTGAAAAACACACAAATGGGCTAATTCTCAGGTACTCTCATTGAAAAACACGCGCGCGTATATATATA